AAAAAAAGAGAAAAAAGCAAAAATACTCAAAGACTAGCGTTTAAATCGGTCTTTGGACCGTGCCATTCACCTTAGTGCCTTCGTTTAGTATAATTGAGAACTGCAAAATAAATCATGAAAATCTCGTGTTTTCATTTGACAATATGAAATAACCAATTTACTTTATCTAACTGAATTATTTCAAAGTCGATAACCTATACATTTATTATTAATACATTTATTATTCAGAATATACAACAAAATAATATAATGAAGCTACACTTGACCAACTTAAAAAAGGTATATATATTGCTTATGAATCTTGTCAAACCGAGAATAGGTTTGATATATGTGATTCATATTTGTATTTATTCAGCTTTAAATATATAAACGTATAGGTAGTTTATAAAAATTTTAATAAACGATCAACGTTTATTCATATATTAAACATTATTACCTTCAAAATGGTTTCTATCTGAATTTGAATCAGGATCAAATCTGTATATTGGAAATTCCAAAAACAGAGTGCTTTTTATAGATTGTGGCAAATGTTCATATAATGATGGTGGAAAAGGAATTAAACAACTTGTTCGTGATAAATGTCGAGAATATTCGGACCAATTCCCAGCTTTGTATTGTTTTATGTGAGCTGGTCGTTCGTTTAGAGGCATTCCACTTAAAAACATTAAGATTACTAGTATAAAGATATGAAGAATGCGTAGATGTCAAAATAAAATCAAGTAAAATAGTGAAGAAAAATAGAATAAATACTTACGGATAGTGATTATTGGAGAAAGTATAGAAATCATAGCGGTTTTGTCTCTGTGATTAGACTGTAAACATAACAAAAACATTCCAATCCTAAATAAAAATTAATAATAATAAAATCGTTAATAACACCGAAGTTAGTTAGCAATAGAGATGGTGATCGATAATTTTTTGATTAATGGTATAATCGACCGTTTGTGGTCAGTGATGCCTTTTTTTCTTCATTCTTCAAATAAAAATAATACTCTGGGCCATATTTAAAGATTAATGAAGCATTCCGGTTTTGTTATATAGTAAACTGCTATCTTGTAAATCTCCATATAACTATGCCCATAGTCGATTTAGAGATATAAAAGTTTGACTTTATGACACTCAATTATCTATAATTTATATCCTCACCAAAACACCTCGGCCATGGTATTGGCGGTTGTAAATATCCAGACACACCAGTCAGCAGTTTACAATAATTTAAAAATTCGGTAATTCGTTAAATTAATTAATTGATTAGTCATTATGTGATCGATCATCACCTCTAGTTAGCAATAAAAAAAATTCGAGAAAAACAACTCGCCAAAGCTGAAAGAATTAAAGATCATAAATAAGTAGATCGACAAGTAAATCAAGATAACGCCAAAAATATAAAATAACTTACCGTAATTTCTCCAAAATAATTTGGATGTCTACTCCATGCCCAAAGACCAGTTCTCATAAATTCCTTTGGAGAAGTTCGTCTGATACGAAATATAAGCTAATAATAATAATTATAACGATTAGTATTAGCCTAGCCATAAATACAGAAAATAAGAATGATCTTTATAAAACCTTTTGAACATCAGCAACAGACTCAATCAAAAGTCCGACAACAAACAAAATAACACCCAAAACATCAGTGGCACTCCCAAATTGATCCAATACACCAACAGCATGATTAATTTTTGGAGAATTTAAGAATGTAAGTGGTAAACTGATAGTCCATATCCAGATCATTTGTAAAATAAAAAAGGCAAGTAGCTTTGAAAAATTTTGTCGAAATTCATCGAAACGAGAGTCACCATGACCGGTCTTTAGCATACGATATAGACAAAATACTTAAAACAAACAGCAATTAATAAACCTGTTTGATGAATTTGATGAATTGGTAGGTAAGATAGTCGTGGCAGAAAATTTCGCAATTACATGCTTACTGCCAATTAAATTTTTGAAATCATAATGCTAAAATTTAGCGAGAAATTTTTTTTTGGAAAAAAGTAAAATTTATGCTACATCAGATTTTGTAACCTTATTGACTAGATTCATGTGATCGCAAAATTTTTTCTGCTACGATTTTGAATTGGTATCGAAAACCTACATCCTAATCGAAGGCCCCATATAATTTGAAATAATGTTGCAAGTATTTGGCGGGTGCTATATGACTATATGCACATCAATTAAACTGTCAATAAATACGAATAAATACATATATATATAATACGCCTACTTACTTGGCTGAAAATTAAGGTCAAGATAGCAAGTAACGCAACATTCGATCCACCTATAAATTTTATTTGTATCAACTTTATAAATCAATGTAAAAAAACGAAATCCAAAATTTGAAGCTAAAATTAAACGAACCTCCAAAATCCGTAACTAAACATTTCCATTTTATTTAAAAAGATAAATAAAAAAAAAGCAAAAAAAAGGTAAATTAAAATTTTCCATACCGGTTTCAGTTTGTAGTGCGAATGCTGTGAGAAAGATGGCCAATTGATATAAAAGTGTAATTATTGCTGTTATCCCTAAATAATAATCATCAAGTATATGAATTGACATTTTTACTTCATAATTTCAAGCAGCAAAAGATACTTTATTTATATTTTAAATTTGTCCATCACCTGATCATGATCATAGATTGAACCAATAATTACACTGCATCACCATACAAAATTGATGTTTCGTGAATGTCCCGTGTTTCGTAATATAATTTTTCTCACTAGAATTGGTTAACTGGTGTTTTTGTTTGATAAGGATTATTTCAAACAAGTTTTAGATACAATAATAAGTATTATTATAATATATATCATGTTAACAAAAAAGACATGGACGTTGGTTATTACGAATATAGTGATACATTGATATTCGTACGTACGT